GGTGACGACGAATCGCCGCCTCTCGCCCGAGGAGATGGCTGAGCGCCGCCGTCTCGGTCTCTGTTTCAACTGCAATGAGAAATACACTCACGGCCATAACCGTTTTTGCAGGCGCATCTTCTTCCTGGAGGGTGTCGAGATTGACGACGTCGCGGACGAGGCGGCGGTCGCCGCGCCCGACGTCGAGGCCCCCTGCTTTTCCCTTCAGGCCGTGGCTGGGGTCCCTATGGCGGGTACCATGCAGATCCGCGTGGCCCTCGGCGCCGCAGCCCTCGTCGCTCTCCTCGACTCCGGCAGCACGCATAACTTCATCTCGGAGGCAGCGGCTCGGCGTTCCGGCCTTCCTCTGCGCCATCGCCCCCGCCTCACCGCCTTGGTCGCGAACGGCGAGCGCGTCACCTGCGACGGCGTCATCCGCGACGCCCCCCTGCTCATCGACGGCGTCGCGTTCCCGGCCGACCTCTTCGTCATGCCGCTGGCCGGGTACGACGTCGTCCTGGGGACACGGTGGTCTGGCGCGTGGGTCCATCGTCTGGGACCTCGGCGGCGGCGCGATGACGTTCCAAAGACCGGGGCGCCAGATCTCCTTGAGCAGCGTCGCCGCCCTTCAAAGACCGTCCTGGCGCCACCTCGGAGGCCGGCCCTCTCCTCGGCTTCTTCTTTGCGCAGCGTGACGGGGGCTCTTCGCGCGAACCGGCGGGTTCGCCCCCCAACGCAGCGCCGACGACCACCGCATCACCACAAGCCCGGCGCCCGGCCCGTCGCCCGTCGGCCCTATCGGTACCAGCGGCGGCGCACAAGGACGAAGTTGGAGCGCGGCGATGCGCCGCTATGATCGGCGAGGATCATCCGCGCAGCGACTTCGCCCTTCTCGTCGCCCGGTCCTCCTCGTCAAAAAGCCGGACGGTTCGTGGCGTTTGCGTCGACTACTGAGCGCAAATGTGCTCACCGTCAAGGACGCCTTTCTGGTCCCGGTGGTTGACGAGCTCCTCGACGAGCTCCATGGCGCTAAGTTCTTCACCAAGCTGGACCTCAGGTCCGGGTACCACCAGGTGCGGATGCGGCCAGAAGATGTTCACAAGACGGTGTTCCGCACCCACGATGGCCTCTACGAGTTCCTGGTGATGGCATTTGGGCTATGCAATGCTCCGGCAACGTTCCAGAGCCTGATGATTGACGTGCTCCGGCCGTTTCTCCGTTGTTTCGTCCTGGTATTTTTTGATGATATTCTCATCTACAGCAGGACATGGGCAGATCACCTCCGTCATCTTCGGGCCGTCCTCGATGAACTACGACGCCACCAGCTCTTCGTCAAGCGCTCCAAATGTTCCTTTGGCGCCCCCTCCGTCGCCTACCTCGGCCACATCATCTCTGCGCAGGGGGTGGCCATGGACCCGTCCAAGGTGCAGGCGATCCACGACTGGCCGGCTCCGCGCTCGGTGCGGGCAGTACGCGGCTTCCTCGGTCTGGCGGGCTACTACCGCAAGTTCGTCCACAGCTACGAGGCACTTGCTGCACCACTGTCGGCGCTCCTCAAGAAGGAGGGCTTCTCCTGGGACGACGCGGCAGCCTCGGCGTTCGCGGCTCTCAAAGCCGCCATCACGGCCGCCCCCGTCCTCGCCATGCCGGACTTCACCAAGCTGTTCACCGTCGAGTGCGACGCGTCGACCATCGGGTTTGGGGCGGTCCTGACTCAGGAAGGCCACCCGCTCGCCTTCTTCAGCCGGCCAGTGGCGCCCCGCCACCGCGCGCTGGCCGCCTACGAGCGCGAGCTTATCGGCCTCGTCCAGGCCGTACGGCACTGGCGGCCGTATCTCTGGGGGCGGCTTCATCGTCAAGACGGACCACTACAGCCTGAAGTATCTCCTCGACCAGCGCCTCGCCACGATTCCTCAGCACCACTGGGTCGGCAAGCTCTTGGGCTTCGACTTCTCGGTGGAGTACCGCTCCGGCGCCACAAACATCGTCGCTGACGCCCTCTCCCGCCGCTACACCGAAGAGGGGGAGGTCATGGCGATCTCGGCGCCCCGCTTCGACCTCGTCGACCGTCTGCGCCATGCCCAGGCCACCGACCCGGCCCTGGTCGCCCTCTACACCGAGGTCCGTGCGGGCGCCCGCGCTGCCCCCTGGGCGCTGGTGGATGGCATGGTCACCTACGACGGCCGCCTCTACATCCCACCCGCGTCGCCGCTACTCCAGGAGGTCGTGACAGCCGTCCACAACGATGGCCACGAAGGCATCCACCGCACTCTCCATCGACTTCGGCGAGATTTCCACTTCCCCAACATGCGCCGCATCGTGCAGGAGTTCGTGCAGGCCTGCCGTACCTGCCAGCAGTACAAGTCGGACCACCTCCGGCCGGCGGGGCTGCTGCAGCCGCTACCGTTGCCATCCGCGATGCAGGCCGACATCGGCATCGACTTCATCGGCGCCCCAAAGGTGCGAGGGCAAGACGATATCATCCTCTCCATGGTGGACCGCTTCAGCAAAATCGCGCCACTTCATCCCATTGGCACACCCTACACACCGCGAGTCCGTCGCCCAGGGTTTCTTCGCCGACATTGTTCGCCTCCATGGTGTCCCACAGTCCATTGTCTCGGACCGCGATCCGGTGTTTACGTCGGCGTTCTGGCAGGAGCTTATGCGGCTCACCGGGACAAAGCTCTTCATGTCATCCGCCTTCCATCCGCAGCAGACGGACGGACGGATCGAGGCCGCCAACCGCGTCATCGTCGCGTGTACTTGCGTTGTTTCTCCGGTGACCGTCGCGCCCGATGGCTTCGGTGGCTGCCATGGGCGGAGTACATCTACAACACCGCCTACCAGTCCTCTCTCCGCGACACGCCGTTCCGGGTGGTCTACGGCCGGGATCCCCCGACCATTCGCTCCTATGAGCGGGGCGAGACCCGGGTGGCGCGATGGCTCGGGGAGATGGAGGAGCGCGCTGCTTTCCTCGGCGACGTCCGCTATCGCTGGAGCGAGCTCGGTGTAGCATGAAGCGCATCTACGACGGCACCATCGCCGGTGTCCTTCCAGTCGGCGGCCCGGGCTTGGTCGCCGCGCCTTGGCGGCAGCTGGCGTCCCTCCCCAACGCGCCCAAGGGGAAGCTCAAGCCTCGCTATATCGGGCCGTATCAGGTCCTGGAGTTGATCAACGAGGTGGTTTGTCCGCCTCCGGCTGCCCGAACGCAGTACCGCACGACGTGTTCCACATCGGCGTCCTCGGGAAGTTCGTCGGCACACCGCCGGCTACCCTCCACCACTGCCCCCACTACGCACGGGGCTGCTTGTTCTGCACCAGCCAAGGTCGCCAAGGCCGGATCGCCCGAAGTCGCCCGCCTACTTGTCGAATGGCGGGGCGAGCCACCGTCTGCTACCCAGGAGGATCTGGATGACTTCCGCTCTCGGTTTCGGCTTTTCAGCTCGAGGACGAGCTGGACTTCAAGCGGGAGAGATGTCATGTCGTGCGGACGGACGTCGCATAAGCAGCGCACCCACGACGTCGCCAGCAGGTGGCTGAAAGGCAGCAGAGCGCGCATGTCCTCCAGCACGAAGGGGCAACTTCCAGTGGCTAGAAATCAGGGATTGGATTAGAGGCTGTTTTGGTTAGTCCTATAATTAGGGGAATTCCTTCCATAGTTGGTTGAGCCATTGGCTATTTATTCCTGTAAGCAGGGAAGAATGAATTAAGCAAGATTAATCTCCTATTCTCTTCTTCCTCCACGCCTCCTAAGCCCAGCCGGTTGAGAGGGGTATAACCTCCACCCTGGAAGACTCAGCCGGAGACTACGAGCTTCGTAGTCGAGGGCCAGCTACCCTAAACTACAGTGCCCTTGACACTTCTCCTCCCTCTTCCTTATTTTTTATTGATGATTGATGTTAGATATGGTTTAGGTAAGGGAAGGAAGTAAATAATTGGTAGAGTATGATGATAGCCTCTAGTGCTAGTTTAGCGCTGATTGAAAAAGATTTGGTGTTGCCCAACTAAATAGAACGCACATATTTGGAAAGAACTTCATATCATTGTTAGAGCTATTGTGCTTTTTGTTAGCTGAGTTATTATGTTTCTTAGTATCTGCTCATCTTCATCTCACTCTCAGCAATTCCTCCTTCCAAATGTTTGGATTTTTCAAAATTTTCAGGGGCCATTCCTCTCTAGACATACCATGAAGCTGATTTCAACTAGAAAGAAGGTGATGATTGCATCAACTATGATCTCCATACAGTTAAGGTGCAACCAATCATTTTTACTTCAGAAACTAAGTATGAAAACAACCAATAATCACATAATTGTTTGTTGACTTTTCTGTTAACTAGGGTGAATATGCCTTGCATTTGGAGAATTATTGAGGTGCTTATGGACCTCTCTAATAGAAACCAGCTGCCCCTTATCATTTCACGGGAAAACTTGCATTGCCTGTTCTCCTCGGTTCCCTGGCTTTAATCAACATGATTCATAGGAGCTTGCTTTTTTGTTGGTTGGTCTCCATGAAGATCTTTCAAATGTGAAGCAATGGAGCCTGGCAGCATTGAATAAAACACAATAATCTTTAGTCTATAGATACATTGATAGTGTTATACAAGTTGTTAGCGGTTGATATATACCTCTGCCATGGAATCAACCAGTCAAATATCATCCTATTAATCCATCACTGTCAACGTGCTTTCATACAGAATTTGGGAACTAGAATGTAGAATCAGTCAGTACAAACAGTAGAATTTTAGATGATGTGCTTTCAAACCTACCATGTTCTTGTTCTCAGGGTTTGTATGTTTGATTACAATTATGTATTCCTAGAATATCTGTTAACAGCATTACGGCTTGATGTTTGATTTTGTATGCATATTTTATTGCAAGCAGAAAAATCTTTATTCTTATATTTTATCTGAAATAATAGACACGTGAATACCGTGCTCTCTTTTAGGTTTAGATACAATTTTAAGTTTGCAAAATTCTATATAGAAAATATAAAGACTGCCTCTCAATAATTCTTTTTTCTGATGACAAGAAGGTGGATAAAACAGCAGATGAAAGAATTGGAGAGCTGGGCGCAGCGGAAACCAGATATGACTCTAACAGTAGGCTATGCCCAGGTAGCCATTTGCAAGCTTCCTCTCACCAATGGTGCCAAGGTATTTGGATGCATTTCGGTGTTGATTTTTTTTGACTTCAATAATACATGGTGGTTGTGTGCTTACAGGTATCTCCAGCACCATTGCCGACCAATTTACAGCAAGCTCTTGAGTTCACCTTGACGGCCAAGGCAATGTCAAGACCATTCAGTCCTATGGCAACAGACTAAAGATGCAAAAATAAGCTTATAATTTCACTTGTACTGGCTCATATGGATTGTTCTCATTAATGGGGTTACATCTTGGAGCTGGTGCGTGTGGCAAAAGAAGAGCAGGCTATGTTGCAGAACCATTATTATGGTGAAACATCTGAGTATTTCACAAAATTCCTTAGCCTACTCGTGATCCAATGTATTATGCAGTTTGCTACATAGGCCTTTTATAATTGATAATGCAGTCATTTGAAATTTTGAAGGATACGATAAGGTAATGTAAATATGGTGTTGGTGCTTAGCAACCAACTCTTGTTGTAAATAAACAGTTTATTTCTAGCTGAATTTTTGCCATCCATTCATTATATGAATTGAGCAGCCAACTCGGGCGACAAATACAGATTATTATTTCTACTTGAATTCTTGTTATCTATTATATGAATTCTCTCAAATGTGTATTATTATTTCTTGAAATTTTCATTGTAATTCCTCGCTTATGATGAACCTTTTTATGGAGACACGTGCGTGCCGCACGTGCATGACTACTAGTTGTCAAAAAGGAGGCGATCTAAGACTTGTCCGTATGTTTCTAAACCTGCTTCTATTTTTGTCCATATACAAAATTGACAACACCATTGCGTTCCCCTTGCAAAAAAAAGTATTGTTCAAATCGGCCAAAGAGTTTTTGCTATCAAAACTGGCCCAAGTCGATTTCTGGACCGTAAAATTGGCCCAAGCCGATTTTTGTTATCCAGTTCGGATTTGGATTGTATTTGACATGATTTACAGGTGATTCTGGCCACACACAGGATAAGTCCACCCCACCCTGTACCTATAAAGGGTCACGGCGATTGAGCAAAGTACAATCACACAAACCATAAACCAATCTACTTTTACCTCTCTTTTACTCTGATCTCTTTCAACCTCCATGTCATTCATCTCTTGATTCGATGACTAAGGATGGCGCTCTAAACTTGTAGTCAACTTAGGGCAACCTGCCAACATCCTCGCCCCGATAGGGTCCACCCAAGCAAGACATTCGATGGCTCATTTCCTTAAAATTAGTTGTTTTCATCGCGTTAGCCCGGTAGCTATCTTTGCTTGTTTGCTTGTAAATTTTGTCACTCTTCACTGTGAAAATTTGCTGGTTATCCGTTGCGGGCATCCTAGCGCCCGGACGTCCAAAATCGGATCGAATAGAATGGAATGGAATTGCGTCCACGGCCCTCCTCCATTCCCCGCCCGCCCCTGTTCCCAAACCCGCTCGCCCCCGTGTTATCCCAAAAGCACAAAACACTTCAAGTGCTAGAATCGGATCGAATATAAATAATGGAATATGGATGATTCAGTAGTTAAATCGCATACAAGCCAAGGAGAGGAGGAGGTTCAGCATGGGCGTCCAATTCATCCTTTCCATTCCCCCCAGCCAACTACTCCATCTCGGATTCCCAGTCTGCCTTAAACTGGTCACCAGGATGCATCCGTTCCATATATGGATGCTAATTTGATATGTCCCAAAGAGCATGAAACACTTCAATCAACGGGAATCAAACATCGCAAAATCATATGGAAAAGTCTATTGGACCATGTATCAACATTGACGCCCAATACTCTATAAATAAATCGCTCTCCTTAGGGTTTCGTTTTGTTTAGTTCTTGATTTCCTCGTGAAAAAGACATGTTTTTTTTGCAAGAATCAGTGCAACATCGAAAAACATGTTGTTAGCCTATGGCGAACTTCGAAAAAAGACTTGAACTCCTTATGTATTGCAACCTCGAAAAATGATTATCTTCTTGCTTGTGTTCTCGATTCATCTTGCAAAAGCTTAACCCATGAAACATGAAAAGGGGTCCATTCCAAAATCATCGTCGGTGTCCAAATAACCCAAAATCGGGTCTAGTCTCATTGAAACATTATGAAAATCATTTGTTACAACATCAAAAAAAATCATTGCAACAAGGAGAAATATAATGCAACATTTCAAAAGTAACGCAACAACAAACTTAACCCATGAAACATGATGGGTTTCGAGGTGCATCTGCAATAACCCAAACATCTCTCATTGAAACATCAAAATCTTTGAGCATCCCAAAAAACCATTGCAACAAGGAGGAGGAGGAATAGGACCCCGAGAGCTGCTCACGCCCTAGCCCAAACCTTGAGCTCTCCGCCTCCTAGCCACCGCTGCGTCCCTCAGATCCAGAGGAGGAGGAAGAGGACGAGGGCTCAGATCCAGAGGAGGATGAGGAGGAGGAGGAGGAGGAGGAGGAGAAGGGCTCAGAAACAGAGAAGGACCGACCTACCTCACCGGAGCCGTCGCCGTCGTCTTCGCCTCCGGTGGGGGGAGCGGGAGCCGGGTCGTTGGGGGTGCAATGGAGGTCGCGGAGGGAGGAGATGGAGGGAGGGAGGGAGCGCGGGTGGGCGGGATGGCAGCAAGTGGCCGAGGCACGCAGTGGTGGATGGGGAGCAGCGGTGTGGAAACGGCAAGGTCGGAGGAATCGATGCGGGCGTCCTCCTTTTGTTTGGCATGAGTGTCGCTCTATTGGGCCGCAAGCCCAAGCGCGCAACACCCGTAGGCCGCACAGTATCATTACCGTATCTGTTGTGTTGTTCGATTCATTTGCGACCCCGCGTGTTCTAAGGCTTTGGGTTGGGACCGATATTTGGGTCAATAGAACCATGGGAATTCAGACACCTAGCCATATTCGGAACTTTGTAGATCTGGATGCTGGATTTAGTAGATAATAAAGTGGCCGTTTATCCTACAGAAAGCGTCCGGTGAAAGCAGGTAGCATAAGTTCACATTCGCAACACAACATGGCTAAGCAACCGGCTTTTGGTCATGTTACATTGGCATCGGCATCAAGTGGGCGCCGCTTTGGTTCCCTTTTGTGACTTTTGCTAGCATGGTTTCCCTTTTACCGCCTCCTCCGTGGCACGTTCGACTTTAAGCTCCACTCACTAGCCATTTGGAAGGCAGAGGCCAGAGAGAGCAAACCAGAGCAGACGCCAAAGCAAGCGAGCCAGTCACTAGCCATGGCCATCCACATTGCCAACCTCTCGGCCGTCGTCACGGGCGCGCTCGAAGCGGCCAAGGCCGTCGCCACCGAGATGCTCCCGGCGGCCGTGACGAGGGACGCCGTCGTCGAGGCGTCGAGAGCCTCGGTGGCCTGGCTCACGAGCCACCTCTGGGCCTGGCTGGCCGTGGCGAGGGCCGTCGCCGTCGACAACCTCCCGGCGGGCACCGCGGCGGCGGCGCGCTCCGCGGCCGACGCTTCGGGGCCCTGCGTCCAAACGGCGGCCAAGCTCTTCAGCGCCCTCTACGGCTGGCTGGCCGCCGCGGTGGTCCAGAAGCTCCCGGACGCCGCCGAGAAGCTGCTGGGCGACGCGGCGGCGTGGCTCGTGCACGGCCGCGGCGGCGTCGCGGTGTACGCGACGCTGGCGCTCGCGCTCCTGGCCGTCGCCTTCCTCGGGGGCGCCGTGTGGGCGCTCACCTGCCGCTCCATGAAGGGGCCCGGGCTCGGCGGAGCGCGCGTGCCCCGCGCCGTGTTCGAGGCCAACCCCAAGCGCTACTACGCCACCGTGCGGACCGCGCGGAAGGCGCAGCGCCGTGCCGGTGGGGCTGGTTGCAAGCTGCTTCTGGCCGGGCTTCTCGTCGCGTTCGTGGCCTACCTAGCTGCAAAGATGCTCTACTAATGTGTTACGCTAGGTGTCCGGATCTTAGAACCACAAATGGTACTGTCTGTTAGGAATTAGTATCTCTATCGAGCATGCTGCATGCCGGCAAATCACGTTGATGGCTAGCTGCAATTGAATTTCAAGTGTTTTTTTTTTTTTTGCCCGCTCTTAACTCGGAGATATACAAATATGCAACTCACAGTTGAGGATACATTGGAGAACTAAGATTGTGTGATTTGTTAGTGCAACTGAAAAGTTAATGCCAATGATAGCTTCTGATGACAAAGTTCATTTTTCACCAAAAACTATTTTAATATAAAAAAACAGAAAATTAGAGGTAAACTATATACATGTCTATTGTCCCAGTCCCAAAACTTTTCAGTTTATTTACCACACAGAATCTGAGTATTTTGCAAAACTATCTTATCAGAAAGTTAGAGCTTCGTTACAGCAGCTCTTCAGCAGCCATCGCTGCATCACCTTCTCTAACACGGCCCCTGCCTACATGCATACAATTTGGGGAGCTCCTAGGGACCTAGGCAGCGACCTGAGCAAGGATGCCTGAATTTTTGAAGTGTGTCGACGAAATATGGTGGCGAGGAGGGGTGCTGACACTTAGGAACCGATGGTGACACAAAGGCGAGACAGCGATTTAGACGTGTTCGTCCGTCGCAGTCGACGTAATACCCTAGACACTTTAGTATATTGTATTGAGATGTATCTGATTAACTTTTGTCCTCTAGGGGACCCTTGTCTCACAAATCTCAGGGATAAGGTTACAAGTAAAGTATCCAATTTGGTACTATTACAATATCTAGTACAACTTGTAATCTTGATGTGCACGCTTGATCTTACGCGGGCGGGCCCCTCGGATCCGCCTATCCCCATCTTGTGGTACCCCCACAAAGCGACACTAACACCGGACGTTGCCATTTTAGGTGCGCCCTGACGCAAATCGAGGTCATCCCTCCGACGACAGAAGTTGTTGCGCCCGCGTCCCCCATCCGCCTATCCCCCAGCGCGCCCCATCAGCGCCCCATCCCCTGCCGAAGCCCCTCCCTTCTTCAAGGCGTCACTGGGCGCCTGCTCCTCCCCCGCGCCTTCTTCACGTCCCCTGGGCGGTCGCTCCGTCGAGGTCCGCACCAAGACCCGTCGCGCCCCCGTCCGCCAGCCAACGGCGCCATTACAACATGTGCAACACCCGATCTACTTTGAAACATTCGTATGAAATATTTCAACATACGTCTGAAGACAGATGAAACAGTTGAAACATGTGTCTGAACACTTACAAAAACACACAAAAAAACTTGAAAAACCATTACAAAACATATGCAACATCTAGATAAAACACTTTCAACATATGTGTGAAATATATGCAACATCCAAATAAACACACTTGCAAGTTACAACATACGTCTAAAAAATAGATGAAACATTTGGAACAGACGTATGCAACATACGTGTATAGCCATTGCAACATATGTAACATCCCGATCTACTTTTGCAACATCCATATGAAACACTTGCAACATACCTCTGAAACATCTGAAACACTAAAAATATACACTTACAACATGTTGGACACGACACTAGCGCGGCGACCACCATGTCAGGAGCGTTGAGGAACTCAATAACCGCCTCGATGGGCAGATTGGGGCTGGGAGGTAGCAGAGCGAAGAGCACCATGGGCTTGGCGCCGTGACCTTCTTCCGCTGGGGCACCGGGGCATGAGGAGCCTCAAGGCGGTCGCGAAGTATGACACAGCCGTGACGCCCTTGTCGTCTCTAGCCGCAGGAGGAGGTGAGGATGCCGGTGCCGGCACCGGCGATGAGGGCCGGAGCAGGCAGGCCCCGGGGGAAGTAAGCGGAGGTGGTTGCCGCTGGCAGCGATGGATGGGAAGCGGAGCTATGGGTGGTTGTTGTGTGGGAGTGGGGATTTTTTTAGAGAGATGGGGCCGGTCCGCTGCGCAGGCGTGGGAGACGAATCCGGACGGGACGGAAGCCCGTGGCTGAGAATTCCCGATTTTTGAACGCCCAGGGGAGCTCCTTGTGCCAAGGGAAACTGTCTGAGACTAACCAAACAGACTCTAAGGGTTGAACTAGGCTCATAAAAACTGCTTGACTTGATTACATAAAAATATAAAAACATAATTTCTGTCTAATGTACGCTACGGTTTTTCTATGTGGTACTCTCTCTATCACCGTTGAGCTTTACATCATATGACAATTCTCTGGAGAAGTTAAATATATCAAGCTAACTAATCTCTTCTCTTCTCTTCTTCTCTACACCTAAAAAATTCCTATGGTTATCGCCTGCCTGCCCCGCTCCTAATAATCTCTAGAGTTTACTAGCGACGATACTCTGCTCAGAAACGAGACCCGAATGACTTCAAGTCTCGCTCGATAGACGCCTCGCCTTGCCGCCTATCCCTCCACGCCCCATCCGCCACCCATATGCCATTTCAGTGCGCCCTCTTGAGCCCCTCCATGGGCCCCTACCACGCCAGACGACACGCGCCCCATCCCCGCTTACTGTTTTTCTTCTTCGCGTCCCTGGACAACTGCTCCTCCATCGAGGTCCGCACCAAGACCCGTCGCGCCCCCGTCCGCCAGCCAACGGCGCCATTACAATATGTGCAACACCCGATCTACTTTGAAACATTCGTATGAAATATTTGCAACATACGTCTGAAGACAGATGAAGCAGTTGAAACATGTGTCTGAACACTTACAAAAACACAAAAAAAACTTGAAAACCATTGCAAAATATATGCAACATCAAAATAAAACACTTTCAATATATGTGTGAAACATATGCAACATCCAAATAAACACACTTGCAAGTTGCAACATACGTCTGAAAAATAGATGAAACATTTGGAACAGACGCATGCAATATACGTGTATAGCCATTGTAACATATGTAATATCCCTATCTACTTTTACAACATCCATATGAAACACTTAACATACCTCTGAAACATTGGAAAATATACTGTCGGTGCAGAAAGTGACCAACAAGTAAATATTTATAGTTTTGCCGTACGTTGTGATCGGAGGTGGCCTAGCACTCAATGACACAGGGTTTATACTGGTTCAGGCAACGTGCCCTACGTCCAGTTTAAGTCGGTCGGCGACTTTAATTATTCCTGAGCCTAGGTGCTCGAAGTTTGCAGTGGGGTTACAAACAAGAAGGAGAAAGATGGGGGTACAAGAGGTCCGGTCGAACTCTAGTTAGAGGGACCGAAAGCAACAGGGGCCCTGCTATGAGCTAAGTGTTCAAGCGTGTTCTTGAGGTTCGAACCTAGCGATTCTGTGGTTGTGAACTAGCGAACTTGATCGATCTAATGAATCTGGGATCACTTTCATCAATCTGGATTTACTGAGTCTTTTGGGAGAGAGCGCATCCCCTTTTATAGATGAAGGGGATGGCCTTATAAGTGAGAGGGAGAGAGTATGTATGCTTCTAAGCCTTGTTGCCCACGATGGCAGGTACAGGATGATGGTAGGCGCCCACAATACTGTTGGATGTCGGATGCACATGGGAGGTTCCGTCGTTTGGTTCGGGTATGGCAGATGTCGGTACCTGTTATACTGTTGATGCCTAGAGGTATGTGAGGAGTTTCACCATGTTCACTCGGTACGGTAAATGCTGACGCCTACAACACTGTTGATACCTAGAGACATGTAGGGAGAGCCTTATCGTATGGGAGTTAATGGTGCCCACAATGCTGTAGGGAAAATGTCGGCGCCTACAACACTGTATGTGTTAGGGAGGTTGCAGAGTATTATTTCTGTAGGCGTATAGGGTACGGTCCTGGTATTGTTGTTTGACTTGTGCGCCCTGCCTTGCTTTCTCCGTTTGTTTCCTGGTCCTTTTTGAGCGGGCGTCCCCGGTCGGTTGGTCCTAGTTGGCTCTGATTACGCCAGTTGGAGAAGAACAGTGAGCAGGGTTTTGCGTACCCTAGTCGAAGGCGTGGGGTCGAAGTTGGAAGTGGTGCTTCAGCCAGGCCTTCCGGTCGGAAAGGCCGTCGGGAGGTGGGCTGGAGACCGAAGTGAGCACTCCGATCGGATAGGTGGGCTAGAGTCGGAAAACGGGCGCTGCTCCTCCTCGGCCAGACCTTCCGGTCGGTGATTGGATCGCCCTTCTGGCCTGCTATTTAGATACTTTGGTCGGCCCATGAGTTGCGTGCTATCTGCTTAGGCCGAGCCTTTGCGGGGAAGCCGGGTCCACGAGGGACCCCGGGTTTATGAACCCGATAGGAGCCCCCGAGCCCCAGGCGATTCGGGCAGAATCATCTAGGAGATTTTTGTCTTGACGGCGGGTGCGCGCGAGCACACCCACGGGTGTAGCCCCCGAGCCCCTGGGTGGTTCGGGCAGAACCATCTAGGGGGTTTTTCATGTTGCCAGCAGGGTAGATTTTTGTTTTGTCAGCGGGTACGCACGAGCGCACCCGCGGGTGTAGCCCTCGAGACCCCAGGTGATTCAGGCAGAATCGCTGGGGTTGTTTGTCAGTGGACATGTGTGCGTGCTTTTTAGTCGAGATGGAGTTTGTCAACCAAGGTGTCATTGTGCAGCCGAGGCGGTTAGTTTTTTAGGGATTTAGTGAGATAGAGCTCGTGGATGCTGGCGTCGATGCGCGCCATGGGATCGGGTGAGGCAATTAGTCTTAGATCCAGGCATCGGTGCAGCTTGTGCAGCCAAGGCGATTAGTATAGGGATCGGATGAGATGGAGCTCGCTTATCCTGGCATCGGTGCGCGCCATGGGATTGAGAGAGTCGAAGTTGTGGATCCTAACCTTGGTGCAGCACGCGCAACCGAGGTAGTTTAGTTAGTTAGTTTTAGGGATCGGGTGAGCGAGCTCGAATCCTAATGGGGACGAGTTCAGGGTCGCAGACCCAGGCGTATTTGGTGTGCAGTCAAAGTGTAGCCGGATGGGGCGAGTTTGGGGTCGTAGACCTAGGCGTTTGGTGTGCAGTCAAAGCGTAGCCAGATGGGGCGAGTTTGGGGTCGTAGA